TATATTAAATTTATTTTCATAATTTCTTTATATATATACATACATATATAAATATTCACACGTTAATACTTATTTATACAAAGAGATAGATAGATAAAAAGAAAGAGAGGTCCCCCTGTAGACCTGTAGATTTTTATTAAAGTTAACCATAGTCACTTAGTTGTCAACCAAACAAATCCGCACTCACTTAGTTGCCAAGCCCAATATTTATACATTTAAAATTGTATAAGAAATAAAGTTCCAAAGAGGGTTGAACATTTTTCTCAAATTCACCAATCCTCTTACAACGAGAGTATGATCTCTCTAGGGTATTCAAAAGAATGTGTCGCACAAGTAGAGAATGGATAGAGAAAGACAGAGAGAAGGTCCCAGACTATGTAGAGGGCGGATGGGGGGTGGGATGGGGTGGGGAGGAGAGAGAGAGTACCTGTTGACAGATATTTGCATGTGAATAGAGCTTTCTGTACCACTAAGCGACTCGCCTAATCTCTCGGAGATTATTTTCTCGCGGACACAGGTTTTCTACCCGTTGTTGCCGTGCTACTCTCTGTCCGCCATTATTATTGTAATTTTCTCACCTCTCTTCCATAATCTTTATCCTTAATCGATTTCGTTGATCTGACGTTACGCGTGAGTTTAAGTTTCTAAAAAAATAAAGGAACAAAAGAAAAAGAAAATGGAAAAAGAGTCATATATTTTTTCTTATCATTTTAATTTTTAAAATATACTTACTTACACACACACGCGTATGGTTTCATTGATAAAGTTAAATCTTTGATATTCAATCTATGTAATAAGGGATAAAGAAAGTAAAAACCCCATAGAAAAGGGCATAGGATAAAGGAAGAAAAAGAAAGAGAGAAAGAGAGAGAGAGATAGATAGAGAGGTAAGGTAATCAAGCGGAATAACCTGAGGCATCCAAGATATAGACGGCAATCTAAAGGGACCTAGATAGACCTAATTTAATTAATAGGCTTTGGACGGTCACGTTGTACATGCACGTACGGATTAATGACCGGATAACATTGTTAATTTTACGTCGACCGTCCATCATGTCAATGCAAAGATACGACACTGACAGTGAGCCTGACGTATACCTTACATTCGTATACTCCCCGACGTGCATTTCTGAGTACATGCGTGTACAAAGAAAGTGCATATGTAAGTATCCACTTCGTCTCATTGGCGTATACCTGTTTCTTTTGTTTCAAGAATTAGATTCTTTTGTACTCTTACACGCGCGCGACATCAACGTTAAAGTGAATTTATCAAAAAATTTACAATAAATTATAGAACTTTAATTAAGGTTTTGTTTCGAATTAAATTAATCCGACTATTAATACACGCGAATATCTTAAATTAAATTAATATTATATATTATAACGTATTATATAATACTAAAATTGTATACAAAATTAGATAATGTTATATGAATTGATATTACTTATGCGTTCTTTATTCGATCGTAAATGATTTGTAATAAATAGAAGAAATTATAAAGGAAGAGATCCACCTAGATCGTCACCAATGCATCGAAGTATCTTTATGATAAACACGAAGAATGACTATGATTAAAGTACTTCGGTATACTATCCATACATATAATTGGAGTATGGCGCTTTGAATAACGCAACTTTAAACAAGCCCATGCCAAAGTTCGTTTGTAATGTTCAAATTAATTTAATCCATCATAACACGAAGAAAATAATTCTATTGATAATAGGTTATCGGTTTACTCGTCTTATATTTGCCTGTCTCTTTTGAATAATTAGGAAATAAAATTTTAAACAAAATAAAAAAAAATAGAGCGTAAACAAATTGTTCGAGAGATACGTCAAGAAGAAGATCAGGATGATCCGATGAAACTAACAAAAAATAAAAAATAAAAAAATAAAGGAGAATTAAATTGTCGTCTTCCTTGTGTTTTCTTTTTTTTCGTCCAATTTAATCCGCAGATGATTGGGTTGATGAACTTTGAAGATAATCAAAAAGACGAAAGAGAAAGAGAAAGAGAGAGAGAGTTCTTCTTTTAAACTTGTTCTATATGTCATACTTTCTCATCGTTTGCGTTTCCTCGTCGCAACGAAGGTGATTGAAAGAGGAAGGAATGGAAAAGAGACAAGAATAACGAGGGAATATAACAGAGAGAAAGAGAGATAGCAATTAAAAGGTATTTATACACCAACCAATTCGTGATCACCACTCACGTCGTCGTCCCTGGAGCTTGAATAGGTCCCTGGATGATGTATTAACTCATATTTGTCTCCTCACAATGCCCAGCTAAACTGTCTATCTCTCTCTCTCTCTTTCTCTCTCTATCTCTTTTCTTCTATTTCTCTATCGCTTTCTCTGTCCAGGTGCCCGACGTTTTACACTCTTCCATCTCTCTGGAGAACGTACGAACGACAGACGCGCATGGTCGACATTATAATGGGATAGACCATACTGAACGAGAGACCAGGGACTGTGGAACAACTTCTGGGAGTCCCGGAAGGAACGCGATTTCGTAAAACGAAGAATTTCATTCCTACGAATGTACATATAACTTTATTTATTTTTCTACCATCCGTGTATATATATATATACTTTATTTTATGCTATTCGCGTTCTCTTTTTCTAGTAGGAAAATATTTTAAAAGTGTAAACTAATATGCGTATATATAAAAAGAATTAATAATAAAATTACCGAGTCATTTAAAGGGACAGGTATCATAAATAGGTTGCCACGGTCGAAATAAATTTCACTTGAAATGTGTAGAAGGGCAAAAGATAAGTAAGAGAGAGAGAGAGAGAGAGAGAGAATGATCTCCGTCCCTGATGGTACAGTTCCACATTCCTCATTCTCAACGGGTGGTTCGTTCCTCAAACATCTTCGTCTTTGTCTATTCTCTTAGTGATGCGATAGTTCCGTTGCATACTTTTTTTTCTGATCGATCACATGACCTCGTCATTCTGTATGATAAGATTGCCTTTAATCTGCCAAGAGACGGAACGAAACGAACAGCATACCACTCGTCGGTCCGACACGCGTCAAACTCTTGATGCGATTCCAATTGTAACCATCAATTTGAAATTCAAAATGACAAGCCGAGAAAATGACGTTATTACGGTAAGATATAGAGAGTACTATTACATTTTTTCGCGTCATATATTGTTGTTTGTTTTCGTTTTTTATTTTTTTTTCGTTCTATAAAATAAATATCCTACTACTTATTATTATTATTCTACCATCGAATTGAATTTTAATAATCCTAGCAATAGGAAAATCAAGTATACCATAGACACTTTTCGGTATTCCCTTCAAATCAAAATCCAATTGTATTTGAACAAGTAGAAATTCCCTAGACGTTAACGTCGCCTTCGGCTAGAATATTTTAAACGAATCACGCGATACGCCGCGTCTCTCGTCCATCCCTGGTTTCTAGACTCGTATGTTAATAACCAACCACCTTTTCCATAAAGCCAAAAACTTTAGATTCGTGACAGCGTATGGTAAAAATGACTCTCTACCTTTTTACTTTTGTCGAGGTGAGGGAGAAAAATTAAAAAAAAAAACAAAATGATAGGAAGGAAAGGGAAGAAGCGTGCGGCAGGTAGGTAGATAGGTAGGTAGGTAGGCGCGGGTGTCCGTAAAATTTATTAAAACCACAAACACAGCGGAAACGCAGCCTGATTTCTAAAGCGTTCTGTATTTTTCCAATTCCGGCTGGTGCATGCGGTTAATTACCTACATCTACCGGACGGAACGAGATGGCACTGTGGTGGTTGGATGGATGGTACTCTAATACGAGGAAGTGAGGTAAAATAAGAGATAAAAGCGTTACACTAGGAAATATTTCGAAACGTCGGCTGATCACGTCCCCGTAGTCGCGGACCCGCGCACGCTACCTCGCGTTTGCACGAGAAAACTTCGAAATTATTCTCGATTATTCAAATTCGCAACCCTTGCCGCGAGCTGTATGAGGGCCGATTCAAATTTATGCAAAAGTCCGGCAACGCGAATCTCCGTTCTTATTAATATGGATCAATTTGACGTTCCTCCTCTTGCCTTTCCCCCCCCCCCACACACACGTACGGCACTTCTCTTACTTTTTTATCTTCTTTTTTTTCTCACCGTGAAGCACCTCCTCAAATTGGACCACCTAACACTCCAAGGGATGCTCATTCAAACGACCTTCAAACTCTCACTTTTTTTCTCTGTCATCCTGATTTTTATGATTCTTCAAATTCCTTTTGAATGAAACGTTAAAAATGCAAGCGTTATCAAATATTTTGTTTTTTCTATGTAATCTACAATATATATATATATATATGTATACACATAACAGTGTGAAAAATACGGAATGTCCGTTTGATCTTGGTCCAGCGATGTCATCGACAAGTTCAATTGGCATCTTATTCAAACAATCCCAAGGATTCTGAGGAAACTCGAGCAAGAATGGTACTTGGGTCTACCCAAATCTCTGGATAACTGTTTAGTCTAACAAGGACTAACACCATTATCCTATCTGAAAATAATGATCATTCAACAGATAAATTTGGATTATTTATGTAAAATAAGTATAGAAATTTATTTCTCAAACTTAAATGAACAACAAAATATTATAAAAGCAAAAAAGATTATTTGTTTTTTTAAAAAAAAGAAGATTGATTTGATACACAAAAGAAATGAATGTTTTGAAAGTAGATAATTAATAATCATCTTTTGAAATTTAACGCAAAAGTACAAAAGTTACTTTCACGATTATGAGGAATAAAGGGAAATTCACGTGATAGGATGGGATCAGTAGCCTCTTTCGAGCGTGAGCCAACCAACGGTTTAAACCTTTTGCTACGGTCGTGGCACACACAGTAGAGAGAGTTTGCTGCACGCAAATGAAGAATTGTCAGCCAAATACGACTCGAGGGTGGTAAGGGGTGTCAGTAGGGGATGAATGGAGCGTAATACCGGGTCTACCCTGATTGTTGCCCTCCCTTTACCTTTCTCCCACAACCTCTCGAACCCATCGGAATTTCCAGTACGAATTTCCGCTGGTGACTGCGACGTCACTTCCGTCCCAGAGACAAGCAGAATCGTATCCCGTCTCTAACTCGTTCTCGTTTAACCTTCCCACACAATCCCAAACCCTTTCCCCCCACACTCTTAAATGATCGTATGCGATTCTACAAGGCTCAACTTGATCATCGCCTTCAAGTGGATCTTCCAATTTTATCTTGCGTAACACGAACTTTTTTGTTTTCCTTCTACAAAAAAAAAAATGAAAAGAAATCATTGCCATAGTAAATTCATTTTCTTCTCATTCAAATTTAATTTTTAACGCCTAATTACCTGTTCTCTTTCATCGTTGTCCTATTCAATTACCGCAACCAGATTTCGTTATCATTATAATTCCAAATACGTTTGTGGTCTAATTTGTCTTCGTATCTTTTCAAAAAAAAAAAAAAAAAAAAAGAAAAGAAATTTGTACACATCGATACTGCTTGCTAAAAGTTTCCCTTGTAATTTTTCCAACATGGTTTCTGCTTATCTGGAAACTCATTTGAATACATATTAAAATCTGCAGTTGTTTACTCGTTACTGTTGGTTACATACTAACTTTTCGAGAAAGTACATTTTCCAAAATGAATCTCAGCGTAAAGTGTAAAAATTATTTTCTAAATAATTAAGAGATTATTTGGAATTATTTACGTTTCGTTCAAAAAAAAATAATATAAGCCTTTTTAATTTTTAAAAGAAAGGATTATGTAATTTGATTTTTCGTCCTCGAGTGCAACATAGAAAAGAAAAGAAAAGAAAAGTAAAGAAAAGAATAGGGTGGAAGGAGAGAGGAACCATAAGGCTCTACCCCTTTGCAGCAGACATAAATAATAAAGCTGAAAAGGTAAATATAATTACCTAACCGTGTGTGTAACGTGCTTGTAAGCGTCGCTTTTGAAAGGCGCCACCCCCAGTCGACGTATCCAATGGCACAACGCGCCGACTCGAATTAAGATTTCAGTAGCTCCATTCCATAAGATTGCTCCGTCGGTCCATATAATCTAACTTGGACTACACCACAAAGTCCTTCATTTTTCTCGCCAAGAGTTTTTTTCTACTTTTTTTTTTTTTTTAAATTTACCAAAGCACGATAAAAGGTACGCCGACGTTGTTATTTTTCATTAATCGTTGACTCAATATAGAAACTTCCATTGTGAAATTGTTATTCTTAATAAGAAACAACCACTCCCGCAACCCCTAAATAAAACACACACATACATACATTTAAATCAACGAACTATTCGATTCTTACTCGAATGGACAGAGATACTTACACGTACAAATATATATATATATATGTAAATTTGATGTGCAAAAAGTTAACGATATTTTTTTATAAGAATGTTGACAAGGTAAATGTTAGCAGGAGCAAAGAAAGAGAGAAAAAGAAATTGAGAAGTTGGAGGGGTGGGTGGGAGGGTTTGCGGGTGATCGCGAGAAAGTACCCTTAGCTTTATTAGAACGGCAACGATCTATGATGCTCGATTCGCATAATGTACCTCCACGTATCTATCTACGTATGTAGGCATTATGTATACGGTGCTCTTCGAATAAACGAACGAAACGAAACGAAACGAAACGAAACGAAACGAAATGGAACGAACGAACGAACGCGCGTTCGAATATACTATTCGAGTATGTTAGTACTTCGGTAGCTTGAGTGTACTTTGAATATTCGCATAAGGTACGTAGGAAAAATATGTTCGACGTGAGTACGCGTATGTGGGGGCAAAGAAGAAAAGAGAAATAGAGAGAGAGAGAGAGAGAGAAAGCAGGTAGGTGAGGGGTTGGAACGAGGAGTAGTGGTGGTGGGTCTTTGAGATAATTGGCTCTCTTGATCGCTGGCCTCGTTCGAAGGACCGGCTTTCAATATTCCTGTTGGACTTATCCCTGTTGAACCTTTGCCTTTTCTTAACTTTTCGTTCCTTTCTCCATGAGCTATACGGATACGCGTCGTTCTTTTCGCGTCCCTCTTCAACCAACCCCCCCCTCTCTGTCCGTTCCACCATTCGGTCATTTCTCTCTACGTTCATCGAACGTTGTTGTTGTTATTGTTGTTCCCCCTTTTTCTTTCTTTCTTATTTTAATACTATTTCATTTTTTTCAAAAGAGTCACTTTCTTACTTCTCCTGTCTAGTCCCGTCCAATATAACGGCTAATAATTTAACGAATTTTATTGTTTCTCCTTGGCTGAAAGCAACCCTCTCCCCGATAGAGTTGAACGGTCCAAAAATCTTTTTTTCTCGTCCCCGATGTTTTTTCCGCAAACTTCCGAAAATCATTACGAAGTTCAACAGAATCCGTTCAGCCGATCGTAAACTCGTGTCGTAAAGGTCGCCAAAATAAACGCACCTTAGATGGTGGTAGCCTAGCGTAGGCGGATGTCATGTCCCTGCAAAATCATTGCCACTAAAAATCCGAGGTTTCCCCGCGAAAATTTATAACGCTCCTCGCATATCTATTCGTACTTTTTGCTCTTCTCCTCTTTTTCGTTCATTTTAAAAACCAAGAGAAATATTCTACATCGTTGTAGAATTCGAAATAGAACGACGAGTTACCGTCGTCTATCGACATTTTCACCGTTATAAGATTTGTGCGAATTGTCTGTCGTGTGTCTGTGGTGTCTGAGAAAATCGTACAACTGACAATTTATTTATCCGTACCGTAACTTTTGTTACGTCGTTTATCATCATAAATCGTATTGATAATGGGGAAAAAAAGATAAGGAAGATTTTTAAACAAAACAACAACAACAAAACACAATTGTATTAAAAATCAAAGCGAATCGAACAAAAGATTATGACACTCGTTGCAATTTATAAAACGTGCTGAACATTATATCGAAAACGTGCTAGTATTGTAGATATGAACTAAACATCACGTTTCTACGATCCAACTTGATGATAACTCTCATAAAAAGATATAGTTGAGTGTATACCGTTAAAGAGCGTAAAGGAATACAAACCAAGAAGAGACAGGCATACATATTTAGGATTACTCGATTGGCGATCTCTCCTTGTTTGAGAACCTGTCAGTCGATCGGTAACTATACAAAAACATACTTACACTCGCTCGTACGTGCCTCTCCCTGAGTTCCTGAAGGCATGGCTCGTCGTTCAGTCGGCACCCCATAGACGGTCGCAGGCGCACTTGTCAAAACTCTTATCTAAAGTCGCATCTACTGGTTAAGAAAAACAGCAAAGTTGAACCGCGGTAACTGGTCGAACTGGTGGTTAGGTCCTGGAGAGAGAAAAAAATGGAATAAAAGAGAGAGAGAGAGAGAGAGAGAGAGAGAGAGAGAGAGAGAGAAGGGGAGAGAATAACCGAGGAAGAAAACAATGGAGTATCCTCGAGGAACCTACGACGACACGATTGGCTACGTTTGGAAAAAAAAAGAAAACAAAAGAAAAAAGAAAAAAAGAACAATGGCGTGACCAAGCTCAGAGGAGAGGTTTCGGATAATTGCAGTGGATAGTTCGAAAAGGTGCCGACCATGAAGGGCTCACCGATCGGTACGCTTGTCACGAGGCGTTAGTATATCTATCGCAAGAAGCGAACTTCCTTACGACCCGAAAAGACTCGTTAAAAGATTTTAGGATTGTTTCTTTGTAATCCAATAAGGATAAGATTTCTCTCGAGAGGTCGAACACGATAAGGATCGACGTCAAAAGGAACTGTTTGTTCTCTTCGCCGACTGAGATACGCGGCATGTTTCAGGGGTAGCTGAACCGAGAACTGTCAAAATAAGCTACCTCAAAGTTGAAACTGAAACAGGAATGCGGTCGTTTGAAAAAGAAATTAGGAAAACCTGTTTGAGGAGGTATTTTAAATATTCTCTTTTCGTTATTCTACTCAACCATAAAGTTTAGTATTTTTGCAATAATATATTACATTTTTAATACCTATCGCGATATGTGTATCTTTAAATTTCCATTTGAATATTTCGGATTAAAACGTCAATCCTCTATTCAATCGAAAAATTTATTCTACGGTATTACATTGTTATATTGTATATCTTCAATAACAGAGAAAAAATAGCAATACAAAATGAAAAACAAATTAATGTTTGCACCGAAGTTAAAAAACAACGATAAGTTTATTGTATATTGTACGATTACGCGATGATAAAAGCACTCGCATGATTGCAGATAATCGTTAATCAATCAACCGATACACTCAACTAATACGCTTTTCTAATGTTACAAAGTATCTGATTAATTATTGTTTTAATGGAAATTAGTTAGCTCGGACGATCACAAACACCGTGAAACGTGAGAGTTTATCGAAAATTAAATTGAAATAAATACAATCAAATATGTTTAATTGAATATTTAACGAATTACCCTTTTTAACGTGAGGAAAAGAAATGATTTAATTTTCTACAAAATATATTCAATCTCTAAATGGAAAATACAATTTCTTAGAATCTTTACTTACGCTAAACATTTTCAAACGACTTTTTGTTAACTTATGAATGGGTTTTGTTTTTTTGTGAACGATTACTGTCCTGTAACTGTCACACTTGCGTTAAAGGTGTCCCGACTCTGGTGATGTCCTTATTGGCTTATAGAGTTAAGAAAAAGAAGAAAATAGCCGCTACGAGAAGTTAGTTCAGCACGTTTCTACGTAATTGTTCAAAAAAGCGACTCTCGATCGCATGCCAAGTTACCGTCGGTCCGAGACGATGTTCTTTTACCGGTTCATTCACCTGTCCGATAGCCTCAAAGTATCCGGTTGGCTCGATTAAGGAAATGCAACAACCGTAAAGAAGTTAACTCGATACGTGAAATGTCAAATATCAGATCGATTATATCAAACGAAAATTTCAGTTTATATTGCGTCGACAAAGAAATACATATGGCTCCGTTATTTATAAAACAATTCTAATCTGTGTTTACAAATCGATATCGTTGATAAAAACAATGATTCATTCAAACGGTTACTCGGAATAAACGTGTTTATTCAGCATGTTTTACTGTTTAAATGACTCTTACATTTCTTTATCTAACATACGAGGTAACTTTCTTCCAATTGATTAACAAAACTAGAGCATCGTTGTTAAAAGTTCGTCAGGACGATAAATGGCCTTTATTCGAAATCGTTCACAGTATCAGAGTACAGCATTTCGATTGATCCTTTCAAAATCGGAAGTTAATTAATTAGCACTAAAAAAAGAAAAAAAGAAAAACAAAGGGAGTTGATAAAATGTTTCTTTAATTTCACAGTTATCCTTAAATCGAATTGCTCCGATCGCAAATGAAAAGAATGAACGAAGAACCATGCTCGAGAAACGGGCGGGAAAGGAGAGCGTATTCGAACTGCTCAAAAGCGGACAACCTAGCGCGCACGAGTGGAAGAACATGAAAAAAGGAAGAAATAGGTAAAAAAAAAAAAAGGGGTGAAAGAAAGAAAGAAAAAGGGAGAAGGGAAAGGAAAAAAAAAGGGAAAGCACAATAACGCTCCTCGGCGATAAGTGACTAACCGTTGGCGACGTTGAACGTACGACGACGACGACGATGAGGACGAAGATTGGGGAAGGGAGTAGAGTGAGTATCGAGTATGAAGGAGAGGAAAAGAGGACAGGAAGGCGGAGCGTAATAAAAATAAGTAATTACTGCAAGTAATCCTTCTCCCTCTTCTCGATCCGGAGTAGAGAGTGTCGCGTCTCCCTCCCAGGTACCTCCTTCCCCACGCGAGAGAGTCGTTCAATTAACGGGAATACCGTTGTCCTTCCTTCACTCCTCTACCACCTTGAACCTCCCACTACCGGCGAGTCTTGCGGAAAAGCTCCCCGCGAAACCCGCGAAATGTTTCACTCGTGAAGTCGCGTGGAGCTGAACGTACCGCCGGAGGTGGCGTGTAGACCAGGCTAAGAGGAACTATCTTTCTCTTTTTCACTGACTACCAACGTTTCCCTGTCCCTCTTCCTGGGACGCCCCTTCTTCGCTCACGCCCCTGACGTTAACCCCACCAGGCGGCGTTAACGGCGCGCGACCCCCTTACCGCGCTCAGCAGACCCTTCTATCGTACCCCCACCACGGTGCTCTACTGTCGAGCTCGATCGCGTTCGGGTTTATTCGGCTCCCTACTTCCCCTCCTTTGCTCCGACAGACGCTCGTGAACGCGACGCGCGATACGGTGAGCTGTGGTGGGGGTATTGCCCGTAGCTCCATTCGCTCGTCGGACGTCGCCGCGTACGGATGTGCTCTTATCTGTTGTTTATTACACGCGAGCGATAGTGTATCATCTAAACGCGCGCGTTCATACATACACTTGTGGTGCTTCTACTTGTTCGATTACTTTCCTTTTTCAATACATCGAGTTCAAATCTTCTTTTATTCGACGATAAAAGATACAAACGAACGACGAACGAACGAACGAACGTACGAACGAACGAACGAACGAACGAAAGAACGAACGTGACGGAAAGTCAATGGTGTGTGTGAACCAGAGAGTTTAGTGTGACACAGTGCACGGATATGAATTCTCGAGACGACCGCCATGCATCTCCTTCGCCAGCGAAGGATCCTTCCTGGAGACACGGATTGATGCCACGGGATCGTTTCTACGGTGAAGAGCCACTCGATCGTCCTAACTTATCGTCCTGTTCAACTCGATGAAGAACGATTGTCCAAGGAAAAATACAACAGCTCACGACGGTGAGGGGGATCTGTTTTCTTTCAACAAGAAAAAATCAAAATAAAGAAGTACCTATATAATATTACGACAAACTCGTTCGCGCGCCTTTTTTTTTTAATTAACTTCTGTCACCTGCCTCGCCGAAGGGGAAAAAATAGCTAAATAGAGAAAAGAGATATAAAGACAGCGTGTGTTCTACGAGAAAAAATAGTGCATTACGATATCAATGATCTAATAAGATTAAAAAATAGTGGGAAAGAAAAACCAAAACGAATAACCCCAATTTTTGACGGTTGTGATTAAATACGGATCTTCTTCTAATTACTTTGAAATCAGGAATAGAGAAAAATAAAAAGAAAATAAAACGTGACACGCAAGTGATTGGACGCGAGAGGAAGATAAGCGCCTCGTAAGTTTTCTCTTAAGCGATTTTCTTCCCAAAGAAGATTGTGTAGGATCGACCAAAAAACCACGGCATGCCGTGGTTAGAGGTGAGCAACTAAGTTTATCTTTTTAAATATCGATAACACTCAAATAACACGAATCTTAAAAAGTACTCCATTTAAATAATACCTCGTTCTCATTTCAATATCTCTGCACGCGAAATTACAATGTCCGATAATCGATACAAACAATATATACTTTATATTTTCACTAACGTACAAAAATTGTAATTCAAAAATATAAAAAAAAAAAACACAACAAAACTAATTCTTTAACTGTTATCTCCGAACGTAAATGATGGTATACAATTTAAATATTAACGATAGAGATACATCTTTTAAATCGAGATAGAAAAATGAAAAACCTTCTTGTTGTTGTTGTTATTATTATTGTATTTTTTTTTCTCAAAACAATCTTAAAAGTCGGAATATCTCGACGCGACGAAGGAGTGAGGGGGGGTTCATTTCGAACGAAGAGCACGACGGTGACTGAATGAGAGGATGAGGAGGAGAAGGAGGAGGAGGAGGAGGAGAGAGAAGAAATTTCAGTGTAGGAAGCGTCTGGAGAGAGAGAAAGAGAGAGAGTGAGAGAGTGTCGGGACACGCAGGCGCGCCCATTCTCGCCACGTGCTCGCCTGCACTTCGTTCAGATTTCTATGCTGTTGTATGGAATAAGAAAGGTGTTAACTGTTTTTCTCTTTATCTACCTCTCTCTCTCTCTCATTCTCCTGTATTTTTCTCCTCTCTCTTTCTCTTTTCAATTCCCTCGTTCCCTTTCTTTTTCTTAAAAATCGTAATATACCAACGAACAAACGTGATATACACATCGAGAATAGTTTGTATATATTCTCTGCACACATACATATATATATATATATATATATATATATATATAGGGGTAGATAGAATGCGACGTAGCGAGTTGGAGTTCGCTACGTTGGCAAAACAAGTAGTCAGTTACGTGAGTGCTGGCGAACCGCCAAAGAGCTTTGAAGTTTCAACGTTGAGCATGAATCTCTTTTCCCTTTCTTTTTCTCTACATAACTAACCCTTTCTCTCTTTCTCTCTTTATTTATCTATCTATCTATCTATCTATCTATCTAACTATCTATCTATCTCTTTCTCTCTCCATTTATATCTCTATCATTCTATCTCTCTTTTTCGTGATATAACTTGTGGTGGGGGGGGGGGAACACGCTCAACTTATTTTTCCCCCACTTTCCGTCTTTCCGTTCTCTTTTCTGTAATTCACGCGGGGTATTGCTGCCATATCGCCTTTGTGGCGCGTCCAATTAGCTTGGCCTTCATATATATATATACATATGTATATACCTAGATGCTGAGAGAGAGAGAGAGAGAGAGAGAGAGAAGTATAACTTACGTTCAATGAAAGTGTAATTAGAGATTTTATGAAGTGCATATGCCAACCTTCGATTCTTGAAACTCTTCTGAATCGCATATAGGACCGATCGAATGAATGCTTATTACTTTAATTGATAAAGAACCTAAACTATTTTTTTGTTAAAATCCTTTTCTCTCTCTCTCTCTCTCTCTCTCTCTCTCTCTCTCTCTGCAATCCTTTCATTCACTGATTAATCTCATTGAAGAGAGAAGGATTCGTATATTATTTCGTTATTGTAAATGACGTAACATTAAATTAGTCATTCGTTTCGTTATCGTAGAACGTCATGGCCATGAATATAATATATGATTATGCCAATCGATATTAAAAAACGAGTTGAAGATATCTGTTGTATATATTGTTGGGTTAGTGCAAAAGTGGCAGTTTGTAATTAAACGAGGACCTTATCGTAACAGGGTTCTATGTAGGTTGCTTGAATGTGTATACGGGAATGAATTAAAATGTAAATATTTGATTAAAGTTAATCCCAACCAGGTGGGTAGACTGGTATAAAAGAGACGGAGAAAGAAAGACCGGAATAAGGGTGTGTAAGAGCTCGTACAAGAGAAAGAAAAAGAGACAACTGGAGGGAAAGTGAAAAAGGAAGGAAAAAAAGAAGCATAGAATTAGAGAGAAAGAAAGAAAGAAAGAAAGAATGAAAGAAGGAAAGAGAAAGACAGATAGACAAAGATAAAGAGAAAAAGAGAGAGAGAGAGAGAGAGAGAGAGAGAGAGAGAGAGTTAAAGAAAAGCATGGTGGTAGTAGCCCTAAGGGGTGCTTTTTATTGCCGGTTTTTATTAGCTGAGTAGGTGTAGTCTGTTTCTCCCTTCGCAAGGCTCTCTCTCTCTCTCTCTTTCTCTCTTTGTCTTTCTCATATACCAGTATACACATATATACATCCTCTATTCGAGTCCACGATGCAATGAAGGAATGGCGAGGCAGAGGGTTGATTAAAATTACCGTTGCGTCAGGAATTACCCCGTGATATTGAAAATTAAATTAATACAATACAATACCCCATCCCATTTTCTGCTAGCCGCTGAGACTAATTAGTTATATTATGGTAATTAAAAGTTAAGTATACCTACGTATCTAACTAAAGAATTCGTTGGCATACTGTAGCATTGTGACGTATACATTTTCATAATTTTACTGCTCTTTACCAAATTTCTATTTGTAATTCTCTCTCTCTCTCTTTTTTTTACTTTCTTTCTCTTATTTTTATTTTAATTAAAACTTACGAAAAAAAAAAATTATCCTTTCATTTGTTTAATTCAACATTATTCAGCATAAAATTGTAAAGAACGCGAGCTAACCGTTATGATTTCTTAGGCCAAGGTTTTCTTCGAGCCAACAAAAAAATAAAAAAAGATGGAAACACAAAAAGTATAGCAATGAGTAGTAGAAGCGTGTATATATATATATGAGAGAGACAGAGAGAAAGAGAAAGAGAGAGAGAGAGAGCCAGTAACAGTTTAAAATATAACTGTTGGCAAAGAGAAATGAAATGACATTCGCATAATGTATCGCATATATAGGACATGTAATCATAGCGAAGAAATGCATAAACGAGATAGCACTAAAGTATATAGCGAGCTAAGAAAGATGCTATATCAATTATTATTCACGCCAATTTATTAAAAAGGACTTTGCTTGGTGGAAAGCACACATCTTCACAATTCTTAGTAGTCATGTATATTTTCGCTTTCTCATATATTCGTCGACCGAATTCAATACTTTTAGATGGCCCTTCTTCCCCTCCTCTCTCCCTTTTTCCCTTCCCTCTCTCTCTCTCTCTTTATCTTTCTCTTTCTCTCTCTCTTTCTGCCAACCTGACAGATAAGTTTATAACTATGTTATGAATACGCTTCCTTTCATAAATTATCGAAATGCTTTCAAGAAATTGTAGGATGCATTAGCTTACATTACGGTACTTCCATTACATTATGAATATTACTCCGTATATTGATGAGGAGGAGTGGGGAGAAAAGCAGGGGTAGCGATAGTGGTGCTAGGAGGGAAGAAGGGAAACACGGCATAGAGCCACGTCGTATTTTATTATTCCCGATATTTAAAATAGTTCGTGTTACCCGTGATGATAGTTATTACTATATTAAAAAAGATATTAACAAAGACAAACATGATTATTTAAATATGCGTCAAATAATAAATCGTTTTTCAACATTATCAACAATTTGTTAAAAACGCCAGCAACAAACAAAATAACAAATATATATATATATATGTCCTTTTAAGATTTTCTTTAAATAATTCCAAATTTATACGAAAAAAAAAATAGTTAAGCCACATTATGCATATTTTTTGTTTTTTTCTGTTTTTTCTTATGCATAAACTCAACCCCATCCCCATACACGCGCGCGCACGCGTACATACAAACTCTTTCAGACTTTCTTCGTTATTACTAGGTGGGATGCCTTGATGCATTAACTTGAATACATCCATGAATATTATTCCGTACTTTGGCGAGTACACTCAGAAGGCGATGATTGCAATGGTGGTGGTGGTGGTGGTGGTTGTAGCAGTGGGGGAAAGAGATGCTTCGGAGATGTAAGAGAATGGAGTGGGGGAAGATTGGCGAGGGGTCGGCTAGTATATAAGGTATAAGGTAGTCCATTAGCGTTAATATTATAAACGTTAGCTGCCCTCTGGCCATCCCAGTACATGCTCGCGTGCGCATGCGTGGTCGTTTTCACAAACATACACACACACGCTCACATAAGTCTACGAATGCTCGGCTCTCCTCCCTACACACATACACACACACACACACACACACACACACACATACATATACATTCTCTCTCTTCATCTTTTGTATATACGTCTAACTCTCATACAAACATACATTAATATAAGCTACACACACATATACACGCTCGTGCAATACATAGACAGTTATACGTGGTCAGACTTAGGCGCGCAAGCATATATCGACAAATATTACGCGAACCGTACGTACACCGCAGCTCTTAGGTGTTCTGTTACCATATATTATCCCCAGATCTCTACTCTACACAGTGACCGGATTGAGATCTGACACCATTTGTTACGGCCCTGGTCGATGGTTTGGTTTATATTTCCTTCAATATTGGCTTCTTTCTCTATTAATGATTTATGTATATATATATATATATTATAATAAATTTAAATGCTAATTAATTTGTTCGTTATAAATTCATTTAGATTAAAGATCTGAGTATTTTCTTATCGTTAAGCGATAAAGATAATAATTGGAAAACGTTATTTATATCTTTATCGTATGAATTTTAAATAAAGAATACATTTAGTGTACCTCATTTCTACGTTTATTACGTATATTAAGATTGTATTTATATGCATATATATATATATATATATATATATATATATATAATATACATGTATTCACATATACACTAATGGCTATGTAAGAGGCAAGGGTCTAAAGGTACTTCGATTCAAGAGGATTTTGCTAATCCTGTGACGAGGATGGTTTTAACGGTTGGCCAAAGTGCAAAATGGAAATATGGGGTTTCTATGGGTTAGACGTAGGATGGAAGAAGAAAGGCCAAAAGAAACTAATGTCCATAATATATTTCGATATACCTGATCTTCGACTGTTTGATCGTAAAAGTAATATTGTTAG